AGGGCCCAAAAGAGATTTAGAAAGTAGTTATTGAGTAAACCTCAAAAGTTTGAAGTTGTTTTTTACTTTTGTATTTTTGATAGTAAGTTGTTAGAGAAAAGGCTAAAAATTTTGAAATTAGACTGCCTAGATGTGAAATCTAGTGCTGAGTAAGTTTGCTTAAGGGTACTTACTCAGTTTATTTAATAAAAAGTTGAAAAAAATTAGTTTTTGTAAAAAATTTTTTGGTAAAGTTTTGATACAAGTAATATACAGATTAAGTTCCTAGTTCCTGTTTTTTACTGTTTTTACTATTTATACTATTTATACTATTTTTACTGTTCTTACTATTTTTACTATTTTTATTTTTAATTATAAAAAGCTATATAAACTCTAACTTTTTATCTTTCTGTAAATTAGTTCTGACTAGTTCTAGTAGCTCTTTAGTTAGTACTTAATAAAGTTCTGTAGTTCTTTATAGTTCTTTAATAAAGTTCCAAATTCTCTACTAGTTTTTTAATAAATATAATCTTTGGCTTTAAAAATATAACTTTTACTAATAAACTATTACAATGATATAATATTCTACTTTGACACTATTAGGAATTCACCTTCTATATTTTGTATTACTTGAAGTATATTAAGAAAGCTACACTACTTGTAATACTACTTTAGTATTTAAGTGTAATCTGCTATAGTAACTTTTAACTTCTTTACCTTTAGTTTTATAATACAAATATTAAAAGATACTTCAAAAAAAAGATGCTATAGCTCATAATATTTAGTTTTTTATATATTATATTTTATATTATATTTGTTAAAAATTTATAAATCTAAAATAAAATTCTATTATTTTTAAAATATAATAAAAATATCAAAATAAAATAAATAAAAACAAAATTCTAATAAAATAAAATTAAATAAAAAATAAAATTTACTATAATATTTTAAGCTAAATATTATAATAATAAAAAAATAACCTGTTATAAGAAAAAAAAAATATTTAAAATAAAAAATAAATTTAAATTTAAATACTAAATTATATTTTAATTTTAATAAAATTATTAAAATCCTTTTTTAAAAGTTGTTCTAAATTAATATCAAAATATTCTTCAACTTCTAATTCTTTTTAAATATTTTTATTTAAACTATTTCAATTTTATTAATATTAAAATAATTTAAATTAATTATTTTATTTATAATAAACTTTTAAGATTAGTTTTATCTCTTTCATTATCTATATTACAAAAACTAGTTTTATCTTTATCTTCACTATTATCTTTATTTTTATCTTTATTAAAAAAATTACTATTTTTAATTAATAATATTGATATTTCATTAATTATATTTTCTAACTCATTTTCATCAAAATTTTCTTTAGAAAATTTTAATTCTGATTTTATATTTGTAATATAAAAATAATATATTTGAACTATTAATTGAAAAAAATTAATTTTTAATCTAAAAATTTTAAATTATAAATAATTAACTTTAATTTAATTAAAATAAAAATTAATTTTTTAAAATTTTTAATTAAAATAATATATTAAATTATTTTATAATATCTTGTTCTTTTTTTTTCTAAACATCTAATTTAAAATTGAAAAGACTCTTTAATATTCTACTTGATAAGGAATAATAGCAAATAGTTTTAATACTAATTATTAAATATAATTATTAGCTTGTCTACAAGTTAACTACCAAATTTTGAATATATTATAATTATTAATATATTCTATATTATATAAGGCTACACAAAGTTAATTTCTTGGTTTTCATAACATAAAATTGTAAAAGTGATCCGGCAACCCGGCTTTTTATTTTAAATTATAAAAATTTCATATGATTTTTTTTAGAGAAATATATAAAAACATATGAAA